CGATTATCGTATATGTGATACCAGTTATCGCTTGGGTTTTCTGATAGAATTAATCTCTTCAACCACTTAACACTTCGTCCGCCAATCTGGCCTGGAACAACCGCTCGCAGTGGACGACCATGATCTGGTCGGAGTGGCTCTCCATTCATTTTGTGTGCTAGCATTATCCCTCTGTTGGAGTCCATTACCCAGTTCAACTTGACAGATGTGCCATAGTATCCGTTGGGCTGAGGATAAATTGTCAATGTTGGTCGAAACAAACCTAATATCAATCGCAGAACTCACCAGTCTATCTGCTCCCTCCATGCACACATATCTTGCTGTTCGAAGCGGCTTTGCCAGTCGCAGGATAGAGGACATCAATGGGCCCGTGAAAAGAGCCGTCGATACTCCAGCAGCTCCCCATGAGAATCCTTGGGACTTTCTCACCTGGTTCTGTTCTTTACGTCTGTTTCCAGCGCATACCAACGTAATGGGGACAGTAATTTGTTCGAACTCATTCAAAATTTGTGTGAATTGCAAAATCATTGGACATTCCACTAAACTGTCAATAGCCAGTCAACAGGAATAGCTATGCAACATCTAGTTTCAATATACATAATTTACTTAGCCTTACCCTTCAATACTGAGCTCCCAACAATGGATATCCTCCTGACGAACATTCGGTACATATCCATGATTTCTCACATAAAAAAGCTCAGGGGAGGTAAGAAATCCTATGAAGCCATTAGTTCGAGGTTTGGAATATGTTGTTATATTGTATATGACAATATTCAAGGAAGAAAGTACCCTCATCAAATAGGGCAGTTAAAGGAGCCTCGACATTGAAGGGGTGCTTTCCAGTAAGCCGAATAAGGCGTGGATCTCTGGGCACATGTTCATCAGGGGTATCCCTATCTATGTGAAGAATTTCTGTCGGTTCGTTAGTAGGGGGTGGAAGGGGAATACCGTGGGTCGATGAGACTGATACTTCAGCTCGTGCCGGATGTTGTGGAATTTGAGGAACAAGACTTTTTTCTGTAGCAATAACTGGAAGACTCTCTAGTTGAGTGACAGCAGCCATTTCGACATCGAGTTGCAGGAAAATTTTCTGCATCAAATAAATCTCATTCAGACGGCACAAGAGGACACAGTAATGAAAAAGGGGTCTCTCATATACAAAGAGGAGCGGAGAGTTCTTATTGTCAAATAACATTCCCACGAGCAGGGCCCGTTGTCATACCGAATATCGGCGACTTACTGTGTCTTCGGAGCACAAAGAATCAACCCCGGAAATCTAGATTGGAATCACATTTCGCAGCTAACCCGGTAGTTGTGATGTACGTCAACAGCCGCACAGCTTCTCATGGTTCCGCGGAAATGAAAACACAAATGCATCATAAACCACAGAATTACGCCGTTGAGGAAATGGTTGCATGCGACAATTGTGTTTATGGAGTGGCGGAAACCACCTCCGGACATCTAGAGCAGTCGACGGGGCAGATAAATGCCAAATCCAGTAATTGGTAGTGCCGCCAAATGGAGAGCGGATTGAAAGACTCGTATCGCCAGGATGCGTGATTGTTGATTAGAAAACTCACGATTGCACATCTGAGATCCAATGCCCAAAACCCGGAAAGAGTGGCGTTTTGTTTCCATCATCATCATCAGGAGGTGCAATTTGGACCATCATCAGATAGGACTGATCTCGAAAATATTAGAGAAGCCCTTTTGTACTTATGCAAATTTGAAGAGCGGAAAATTTCATACATTAAAACAATCAATCAGGAAACACATAGTCAAAAGTTGAAAATGCAGCTCTCGAATGAACATATCAATGTTATTGAGGCCCCACGATAATACGGTCAACCCTGGTGCAATGGGAGTAACACGACCAAATGCAATTAAAGGGCTCGAATGATACAATTCAACATCACTGGTTAGTGAACCTGAACAACCTCGGATAGCTTCACTTAGAAGTAGTTGACAACAGATTTGAGATTTCGATGGTGGTGATCTGAAACTTAACTGGAACCGGAGTAACTAACTGGTAAGTTAGTAACTTAACTTAGTTATATGTGGCTCAGAATCGATGACTAAGCCGGGGCAGACCCAACCGCATTTCAGCTCTATCAGCTGTTTACAACAAGACATCATCAGTTAACGGTGCTCAGCTGGGTGCGGATATAAGATGATAGGTTAGCGTTCTCATCGGCGAACGAGGACCCACACATTGCATTGCAAGAATCTCACCGTCATCATTCTTTGAGCCCGGGAAATCGAAAATTTGTATTTCAGCCCAGCGAATAGGGTGGATGTCATCCATAGAGCTATTTCATAGGCAAAGGCTGGTTATCCAGTGAAACCGGGAAGTTTCGCCATTGGCCTCCTTTCCTGCCGTCTCAGCACTACGGTCCCCCGAGTTTGTGATGATACGTCCTGCTCATGGATCGATTGCCGCTTTGCCGAAATACACCCTCGGAAACGATTCTAGGGTCGCCTTTGCAAACCGGAATATATATCAGACTTGCAGCTCTGCTGATTGATCTAGCATCGAAACACAAAAGCGGTGTTGGTGTCATGGTTTTGGTGTCACTGTAAAACCAGATTGCAAGGTCTAGAGGCGGCGAAATCGAACCATCTTAAGCTTGGTGAGGTTGATTGAGCGCAATTGATGGGTCTATGCTAAGATAGTTGGACGGAAGTCTCGACATCCGGTGGCGGAAAAAGAATTTGGGAGCTCGGTTTTGGTGCGGAAAGGAGTCGCGGGAGTTTAGCTCTGACAACAACGACAGAGGTGCTGTGCCTCCTCCCTATTCCTCTTGAGAATATTTTAAAGGATTGTGGAACCTTTTCCCGCTAGCCGCATACCGTTGGCAGCAACTGAACAACCACATCCCTTCTCGGCGAAAAAGCTTGTTTAGAGTGGAGGCAATACCAATTCTGCAACATCGAGACGCAGCATCGTGACGACCTCGTCGTAGCTGCATCGTAGATACAGATATCAGACACCTACACGAGGGTCTGTACGTGAATTAGTCATGAGTTTTACCTTTCTTTCGGTCCATTAATATATTGGGTAGTGATTTAAAATACGCAGATTGTGCTAACCTCCAGGCAGATACTTTCTAGAATGAGAATATGATATTGGGACAACATGGCCTTTGGCATCCTTCCATCTGGAATTGAAAAGGTCGACGTTCTTTGGTTTTAAATTTCACAGAAAACCCAAGAACTGCTAGACCACTCATATCAGTACGAAACTGACTCTACCCCGTACTAGGCATCGAGATAGCTAGTGCTATTCTCATCTTCGCTGATAGATATGGTTTAAATTTTTGTTAGAAACGTAAAGTCATATCCAAGGTTTCCTTCGGCATCATGTTCAAAGGGAAATCTCCGTATAATCTACGAGAAATGTCTTCGTCGACACAAATTTAATATCTATCCCTTGCGATTAACTTTTCATAGAGTTTCGGTTCAAATACAAAAAAAGGGATCAAACCTCTGCTGTCGGCCGCAATGGTGACGCCATTCAACACTCTTTGCAGAAACCGTGCCACTTTACTACATTCCACTCACAGTTGGAAGATCTTACTATAATTGCCATTGGTTAGGGATTTCCTGAACCCGCAGATCTCTTGAACTTTGATATTAATCAGTTAGGGCATAGGAGTCACCTTAGCTCTCTGTTTATCAGCCCTTCAGGCAAAACGACACGGAATCTCGACAACCATTATAACATAAATTCCAGCCTGCCGAATGATGAGACTTTCGTCTATAAACTAACCACCTAAGTCTCACATATGATTACCCTATAACAGTACATTATATTTATCCGCGGAGAAGCCGGAAATGCAGTGACGGATGCCACGAGGTAGAAGTACTTTTAATCACGTCTGACCACTGAGGGCTTTTCTCCGAGATTCGTTGCGTCCACTGACTAAAAGAGCCGGAATGTTGATTAAACGACATACAGCCTTTGATCTGCATCAGTGGATAGCTGTCAACGGTCAGTGGTCAGCGAGCCCAAGATAAGCTTCTCTTGTTGTCTTTCCATTCCAGCATCAGTACGGGCTAATGGATAAGGAGATCGATCTCTCGTCATTGCTGCACAGGGGGAGTTTAGATGGCAGCTTCGGTTCCCATGTTGTCGGTAGTCAAGTCGCAGAGAGCGATAAGGATCGGGGTGTATGAGAGACCCACTCCTTGCACTAGGCCTGGACCTAACTGTTTCACGATCTCCAAGATCCAGGACCCTGTTCTAATTTGAGTCCAACTGGTAGCGGAGACCTATTCGTCTTTATCCTGTGACGTTTTATTGGAAATCACTGTCAATGTGTACAGAGGCGAAGGCGTGAAAAGCATGCCGAGAGAAGTCATTATCTATATCCATGCGATTTATGCGTGACCCCATATGGAGTCTAATTAATTGCCTTTTAAGGGCAGAACGAAATCAAGAAGAATAATCAAGTCATTCAGCTCCCGCACGCAGCGAGGTGTGATATTCCTGTTGAAACCCTACAAAGTCCCGGCACAGCTTCTTTTTATGACTGCGAAGAAGGGTCATACAACATTTTACCTAGATTTAAGCCCAGTTTCCTAGTTGCCTTCTCCCGTTAGCCTGTGATCTTGCTGCATTCCTTTTTTATGGATTCTGGGAGACTTTTAAGTTTCAATTCTCCAAGTCCTGCATGCGGGGTTTTTTGCTCTTCCTTTTCTTCATAGTTTTCGTCGCTAATGACCAGGTAGAAGTGGTTGAGGAGTTATTCGCCAAATTTCACGTCAAGCCTCCCATTTATTGTTATATGCCCGGATTGGGATTGCTTTACGTGGAATATCTTGAGAATATATTGATTTCTTTTCCTTTGCTAAAAACCCCCTTTTCCACTCCATCTCCACTGGTGGAGTTGCAAACAAAATAATAAAGATCTTCGGATTCCCAACCAGAGGCCATTTGACATATCCATCCCGATCTTGACGGCATCAAAGTGCTACAACCTCGCACCAAGTGTGCATCCATGGCGAACAGCGTTCTGAGGTCTCTGACCGCTCCCCCTGAGGTAAATCCACTGAACAAAAAGGCTAGAACAGTGCCTGTTCTCAATCCCTTTAACATATATGGCCGCATTTTCTTCTTCTCGTGGCTTGGATATATGGTTTCATTCCTGTCTTGGTATATTTTCCCGTGGGTTTCCCGTCTTCTTCGATAGTTCCTCTAACATATTTCATTAGGTGCGCCTTCCCGCCGTTGGTATGTTTCCAGAACAAGGCCCTAGACACCATTGAGAACAGTTTAGTTTAATCTGTCCATTAGATGACGATCACAATTCGAAAAGACCTTAATATGAGCGAGTCTGATGTGGCTAACTCAAATATTATGGCTCTCTTAGCATCGTTAGTTAATTTTGTGGCTCCTAATAACGACGCACACACTGCTGACCTTCAAACAGCTTTTTGGTTCGAGCTTTGTGCGGGCGACTATGTGATCAATTTGGCCCTCGCTGGGTCTTTGTTGGCACTATGATCGCCGGCTCTATTCCAACAGCTATGGTGGGCCTGGTCACCAATCCGAAAGGCCTAAACGCTGTACGGTTCTTCGTTGGCATTCTAGGTGCCACATTCGTTCCCTGTCAGGTGTGGTGCACTGGAGTGTTCGACGAGTCTATTGTAGGCAGCGCCAATGCTCTGGCTGCCGGTTGGGGAAATGCGGGTGGGGGTATTACATAGTGAGTTTAAGCCAAAGGACATAGCTCAATGAAGCATGGCTAGAAAACTAACCAGCAACTGTAAAGCTTCGTCATGCCAGCCATATTTAATTCCCTGGTGAAAAACAGGGGACTTGCCGCTCACAAGGCTTGGAGATTGGCCTATCTTGTTCCTTTCGGTGTCATTGTTTCCGTAGCTATAGGAATGGCTCTCACCTGTGACGACACTCCCACGGGCAAGTGGTCGGAACGCTATAAAACCGCCGCCCAGTGCCAAATTGGAAAAGATACTGAAGACTTTGTTGTGGAAGGGCACTCTGGAGTCCAGGATTTAAAGTCCTCTCCAGCTTCCAATGTATCTGCGCCAACACTATCGGAATCAGAGAGAGTTGACCTCCACCTTGCAGGAACACCCAATGCCAGCGAGGCTCAGGGGCAGGAAGCTAACCTCGGAGATGTGACAGGAGAAATTATCGTTGCCCCGACATTCCGTAAAAGTCTTGATGTTGTTCTCAGCAAAGAATCCCTAGCCCTCGCAGGGCCATATGCTTGCTCCTTCGGTAAGCCCCTGACGGATATTGTCCATGCACCCACCCACCCACACTAACAACTCAATCGAAATTGTCCAGGAAGCCAACTGGCTATTAACTCCATGCTAGGTTCTTACTATTTCTTCAAATTTCCGGAACTCGGTCAAACTGTCTCCAGCGACTGGGCCGCTATGATGGGTTTTTTGAATTTGTTGTGCCGCCCTCTTGGCGGCTACATCAGTGACGTAGTATACCAGAAGACTCAGTCAGTTTGGGCAAAGAAAATCTGGCTGATCTTCCTCGGTTTGTCATTCAGCGTCATCCTTGCTGCTCTTGGATTTTCAGACCCCGAAGACAAGTCTACCGTGTTTGGACTTATTGCTGCTTATGCTTTCTTTATGGAGGCATGCAATGGAGCGAACTTTGCAGTGGTACCTCATGTACACCCTTACGCGAATGGTACGCAGACGCTTCCATCTCCCCTTTGTTCTCTAATATTGATTATTTTGCCATTGCATGTAGACTAACTCAAATCTCTTCAGGTGTCGTTTCGGGTTTGGTGGGCGCTTTTGGAAATCTAGGTGGCATCATATTCGCAACCATATTCCGCTCCAACGGTGAAAATTACAGTCAAGCAATCTGGGTGATTGGAGTGATATCCATCGCTGTAAACATGGTTGTTTGCTGGATCCCACCTGTGCCGCGTGGTAAGGTTGGCTAGCGGTAATTTATTTATTTTATTTTATTTTATTTTATTTTGGATTGCCTTCGGAGGATTTATGAAGAGGATATACGCATCATGTTTGTTATGGGGCATTTTATTAAATCGATTTATGAAACGGACGGAACGACCTATAATAAATAGATCGCATAGTTACTACTGCTACTAATCAAATAATGCTGCTTCTATTTCAACCATGTATTTATATCCACTCTAGTTGCACCTTCTGAGTCGCCTCATCCGCCAGACACTTACTATGAACCCCAATCTACAATCTCGAAATACCAAACCCGTCCTTCTTCTCCACACCCAACATCGACCTTCTAATTTCTCCCACTGTCCCGGCTCCAGCTAGTGCCATCGTCCTCGAAAGCTCCCGTTCAAGGATATCTAATACTCTTATCACCCCCTCCTGACCGCCAAAGCTCAGTCCCCATAGGGCCGAGCGTCCCACAAGTGTGAAATCTGCACCCAATGCCAGTGCCTTAAACACATCGCTGCCCCTCGTGATTCCACTATCAATAATGACAGGAATTCTGCCACGAACCGCACTAACAATTTCGGGAAGTGCTTCTATGGTGGAAGAGACAGAGTCGAGCTGTCGACCGCCGTGATTGGAGACAATGACTGCATCTGCGCCATAATCAATGGCTAGCAATGCGTCTTCAGCGGTCATTATCCCTTTTAGGATTATTTTCAGGCTAGATTTGGAGCGCAGCCATGAGATGGTGTTAGACCAGGTAAGGGATGAGTCGTTGAGGGTGTCGTGGTTCCCACGCGCAATTTTCGCAGCTTCCTGGGCGTTCCGTGCTTCAAGGAGGATGCGGTTCATTGTTGGTTTTGCTTGCGGTGAATTTCCTTCAGGAGAGGATTGATTTATCGTCTGATGAAGATTTGCGAGGGAAAGATGAGGAGGTAGAATTAAGGCTGTTTTTCGCTCGTTTATACGGTTGCCCAGAATAGGGGTATCGACAGTAAGGACAAGGGCTTTGTAGCCGGCCGCTAGATAATTCAAGTAGATAATTAATATATCTTGCGGAAGACATGTTTATTTCGCAATAAAATAATTCAATAAATACCGAATCGCTAACAGCTAAACATACCTTCAGCTCTTCCTATTACTTGCGCACATCTTTCTCGATTCTGCGAGATATACAACTGAAACCAAAAGTCCACCGAGCTGCCTCCGTCCGGTGCTCGAATAACGTCTTCCAACGCACATGTCGTATGCGACGACAGGATCATCGTGGTACCACGGCTAGCTGCTGCTCTGGCCATGTCGATTTCTCCATTGCCACCCGCCAGCCTTTGCATCGCACTGGGCGAAATTCCAATTGGGATTGAATATTTTTTTCCAAGTAGGGTGGTGCTAGTATCGACACGAGAAACATCACGTAAAACCCGGGGCCGCAGGATTAATCTATCACAATCAGTAAAATATCATATAAACAGGGGCCCTAATTCAAAGGCCAATTTTATAGTATCAAATCGTAAGATGCGCACCTATCAAAAGCGCCCCTATTCCTCCTCAATGCGTTCTCCTCATCCGCCCCAGAGGCATAATAGTCCCATACTTGCTTAGGAAGCTTCTTTTGTGCTAGAGTGGCCAATTCGGCAATTGTTATAGGATCCTCCTTCTGTAGACCATCATCTTGTGCATCGCATCGCTTCGTATTGTGTCTCATTTCGTCGTTCTGGTTAAACCCAGCCGGCCAAAATATCAATCTATCTTCTAGATGAAGTTAAACCCAAACTGCTGTTGCAGTTCAGTGAATTTTCAGAGAGAGAAATCAAGGTCGACAAGAAAACGTGAAGTTATGCACAACTGGGTTAGATATTGAAAAAAAGTAAAATTAAAAATAAAAATAAAAAATAAAAAATATGCAGATTGGTATATCATTAACACCCAAAGTACAGAATTGGCCCAGAGGAGATGTCGAAGGAGGTTCTAGAGCTGAAAGTCCAAATGAAACAAATGTATATATAAAACGAACAGCCGCCTCCGGAGTGAAGTCTTTCTCCGGCTCATTCTTCAGATTTAACTAGGTTCAAGCCGCGGTCCTTGCGTTTTTTTCATCAGTCAATTGTCCCGAGATTTTGTTAAATGCTTCGGAGTTAAAAGCTAGTTAAACCCCGCATTAGTTATTCCGCTTTGGCGAACCAAAACTTGGTGGAGGCCGTCAGACTAGATCTATCCAGGGAGACCTTCAACCCCGTCGGCCGTAGCTGGTCAAGGTGACAGATTTATACATGACCTAATTATTCAATCTACCAAGAAAGCTACCTAATAGTTTATTTTATCCCTGTAAGGTCTAAGCAGTTCCGCGGCCACTTGATTGATAGACTTGAGGCATTGATGTAATCGACCCCTGAGCCGGTCAGCAAATTCAAAATATCTTCAATTGAGAATGCCAGCAATTCGTGGTAAAAGGCAATAAACTCTATAGAAATAGAGGTAAACTTGAACTCATGATATTCCCTTTAAAAAGCAAGAAGTTCCTCAATTCATGAAGTTGCGTGTTATATATTTAACTCCACTGGACTTAATTGCAGGTCTGCAAGAACTAGTTTACATGAAAATTCAACTTGGCTGATGGAGATTGAAGAGAATCAGCTAGTTCAATAAACTTTAGATTTGAATAAATGAAAATTACTTTCTTAGTTAGTATTTAATAAAAATGTTATTAGTTAACTAATTATTTTCTTTATTAACTATATAATAAATTTATCTTTAGTTAACTGTTTTTTTTTTAACAAATATTATAACTCTGTAAAGTTTAAAATTTTTTATTCACTTTATATTAATTTAAAAAAATACTTTTTAAATTAAATTATTTATAATAATAATAAAATAATAATAATTTAAAATAAATAAATATATATTACTATTAATTTTATTAATATAACTGGATAAATTAAATAATTATTATCTTTAATAGTTTAATATTTAATTTCATCATATCGTATGCAGTTTTTGAATATTTCTCTTTGGGGATTTCAGCTGCCGGAACCTATTTGACAATTTCTCAGAGCCATTTATGAACCAAAACATATATATTAGACAAGCTAGCTAGATAAAAGAACTACAAATCAAGCCTTTATCATGCAAGTACCTCATGGATTTCCTTGGTGATGTCATAAAATAAGTAAGATCTAAATCATTGGACTATCAAAATAGATGTAGAATTCATCTTGACAACTTTCACTCTGAAGAATGCGCGTCGTGTAACCGGCCTACAATATTCAAATTGGTAATGAGAATATTCACTTTCAGCCGCAAAATCAGCAGTTTAGCTGTTATCTACGAAGTTCTATCTGAAAACATGGCTGTCAATTTGTTTGAGAGTAAATATGCGGTGTTGGCGTTGTTTGCTTGACTTCCCACCTGGTACCCAAAAGTTATTAAAAGGAATTTTTAGATGTGGACTCGTGGTTGCCGATGTCAGGACAAGCCATACAAGTTATATATCTATACAAGGATCTTGACGCTTGAGACCTGTCCTGTTGCTAGGCATATGGTTCGAGTAGCTGCAGGGAAATGACGTAGAATAGTTACAGGTAACTAAATCATCTGACGGGATTTCAGGAAGGTTTTCGTCATTCCTCGATATAAACGTTGTACTCCTCATGGAATCGAAATATAGAATTTTGATAATATCAGTTGTCACGAACTGCAAATGAAACGTGTCATATATCAAAAGAAACTCTACTTTTTTCTTGAGTGTTTGCCCAACTAAGAAGCAAGATTGGTGTGTAAATCTTCTTCTATTTATAAATACTTAGCTGAACAGTAATGCAACTTATACTTTTCATCTTGTCTTCTTTCAAAGCATCTGAAAGAGTAGCTATATTTTAAATGTAGAATTATAAGAGGACAGCAGAGACACAGATGTTTATGCGTGAGGCTGATCTACTGAAGCCTTCATTCATTAATTACGCCATTCATGCTATTTTCTGCATCTCCGAGGTATTACAGGCATGTACGACAATGGGAGCAAATATACAAATTCGCGAGACACTGAGGTAGTTATTCTGCGCCAATGACATCATTAGTAGTGCCACCATGCGGAAATTTAAAAGTCAGCAAGTTGATATGAAGAATGAACAGTCAAAAAGCAGTAACTGCCGCAGAGACTCATCAGAGAAAAAGGATGAGCCGCAAAGAAATATTAAGCAGACTTATTTTTCACCACTATGTGTGTGATTGTGCCAAATTTCCAGAGTCCCAAGTTCCGTGCTGATGAGTCCTCAAGTAGTCTTCTGTGGGCATCCCAGACCATATCATGGCAATCAAGCGTCAAGATGTAGGTATGAACATGGTCTCACAGGGAACCTTGCCTACCGCAAGAGCCACCGTAATTATATCGACCCAGGTTTGCCTTCTCCTGGTCGCTGCATGGGTCGCAATGTTCTGCGGGGTTTGCCACATGTAGTTGAAAAAGAATCTGGTGCTGTGCATGGAAAACTTCCTGTTGTGATATTCAGAGCTGCATACTTTGAAGAGCACTTGATCTGTGCGTCCTTATGCATCCTCATGTAGTAGGTGAACTGCAAATGCAGTGCTTCACCTTCTTACGACGATGCCATCAAAAATGAAACTTGACACAGTCAAATCAAGTTTTTGGAGGGGTTGGCCTGGCCCAAACATGAATGTGACTTTCGGTGCGTTTTCTCTGTGTACTGTCGAGGAGGCCGTCACTGTCGGCGAAGTAGCAGAGATATAGAGAGAGGGAGAGGGAGGGAAAACCTTGAGCCGTGAATAAGCATAAATTTCGAACGGTTTTCGCTTCCTCTTTTACGAGGAAACAGAGAGAAGGCTAACATCGCAGGAACACATTCTGGTGGAAACAAAGGATTTGAGATGCATGGGTGAGTATCATGATTGAATCAGATTTCTTCCTCCATTATTTTCTAGACTCTGAATCTAACCAAACACGTCAAGTAATTAATCATGACTGACCCTCTAATAAAACTTGGGGGACGATCACCCATCACATCAA